GTACAAAGCAGTGGAAATCATTAACAGGCAATCGTTCGATAGGCTGAATTGCACAAAACGCATGATAGCACCGGCTAGTCTGGTGCGCGTTGCCATTTATTTAGATTGCAGCCTCAAGATATAATTTTTCCATGACTTTGCGATTTGCAATTTTTGGTTCATCGCCAACAAATCAACTTATTTCGATTTTGCTTTCTGTTAATGCACCAAGTTTCTTGATGTAATCATAAGTTTTCAATGAGCTACGCGCAGAAGTGAGATCTTTACAGTACGAATAATCATTGTCATGCACAAATCCTTAAAAGTTCAGTACCAGCGCTTTTTTAAACTTGGATTATGTAAGAGTCCTGGAGCCTGGATTATACAAGAATCCTGGAGCGCTGTGACTGAAGGTAAATTTCGGATGAATTCAATTTGAAACTGGACTGCAGGAAAATTGAGGAGCTGTTAATGCTCAGATACAATCCGTTTATCATTGTGTTTTAGTGGTGTCGTTTGAACAAATAAAGGTGAGAAATACGCTCATTGGTACAGATGCTGTAATTGAGTAGTTGCAAATTCGATGCCGAGAACTGATCCTGTCGCCACCGCCAACCACAATCGTTCGGGGGAAAGGAGAAAAGAAAGGAGAAGACTGGGGGAAACAAGTTTGAAAAAAATTTTTGAAGAGAAAGGGAAGATTTATGCCCGGGAATGATCTCCTGCGCATCGTTCTCGTCTGTCCACCCAACTGCTTACCTCCCACCTACCTCCCTTTCCCTGCCGGTCCGTTTCCCCGCATCTATCCGTCATCATCTAAGTGTCACACTAGCAATCAACCACTGTTACTAACCGATTTACTAGTGTGGCCGGAATTTTTTCAAGGACTTAGGCTATTTTCAAAATATTTTGGCGAAACTGAGGGCGTTTTAACCAGTTTTTTGGAAATAAAACATTGCCAAAAGCCTAGTTCTCCACTGGCTGACATTTTGAAAATAGAGAATAACAACGTAATAAGAAGGCTTAAAAATCGTTTTTTTTTCTTTTGAGCCAAAAAATCAAACACCTCAGAAGGGAGCATTTTGCTATCTTACTGCAGGCTACGCAAGTAAAGCCGGACCGTGCCGTCTCGATTTACTGAACTGCCAACCGCCGAAAAAACTTATAAAATTTTATATTTTCTGCTGCTGCAGTAAAGCATCATTAGCGCCTGAAGCGAAACGTGCCGCATGCTTGTCGTCGCAGATCCTGCGACGCCACAATGCGGCGTCGCAACGAAGCCTGCGGTAATTCTGGTGACACTGATGCTACTGCTCTGGGGGCAGCAAGTCTCCACAATCGGATTCGGTAACATTCCGGGAAGTTACTGCGCTCAGCGTTCGCCAACCTGCTGTCCGAATCGTGATGACGAGTGCACGATGCCGATTCTCGGAAATCACTTGTGCTATTGCGACATGTTTTGCGACCGAAGCCCATATGGCAACGACTGCTGTCCGGATTTCAAAAGCACTTGTCGATTCATTCCGAGAACAGCGGAGCGAGGTCAGGTAATTTCCTGTGCATAGAGAGTCTCAAGTCTGGCAGCGCTATTGTGCGGAAGAGAATGCATCTTTTGCAGTCGAGTGTTAAATGCATACGTTCCTAAAACAGTAATATCTGTCCATTTTTTCTCCATAAATATATGCAGTATGAAGAGCTGCCCGCTCATCCTGATAAATGGGATCCCTTTAAAATGGTTGCGGACCGAGAGAGAATCGAATCACATTCTTCTGGGCGTGACGTGTCACCTACCAAACCGCCGACCCGCGTGCTCCAAGTTCAGCCTGGTAGCCCATCCACTGTGTATCTATCTTGAAGGATAGAATACACCTTTTTTTCGCAGTTTCCCATAAACAGTACGTATTTATGACGACTTTTTCTTTGCTGACTTTATGAAAATTTTCCATCCTGCCATTATCACACTATTGGGTCCCTGCGCTAATTATGCGATTTATTTTAGTGACTTGCCAAAATCCCCTCTTTGACATGCTTAGCGCAGTAATACTAGCGCTTACACCGGACTCGAACCCAGTATTTGTCTGGAAATAAGGACTTCTCTGGTTCTCAGGTTGAAAGGAGGTATCAAAATCCGAACACGCACTCAAACAAATCTGTAGCCAGCATGAGTTTTTGGGTTTGCACAAATATGCAAAAAAGCATAAAAACCAGAAAATGTTTGGTCACTGTTACTCACCAGCGTTTCCCTCTTTAATTTTCATTTACTGTGGCATTCGATGATGCTGTGGTAGCACTGGTCAAAGCGCCAAACCGT